TGCCCTTGACCCCCCCAGGAACTTACGTACCAAGCTGCAGAATGACCAGGTTGGGATGTGTGGAGGCCAAGGCCCTCAGCTCCTGCAAGGGAAGCAAAGGTGTGCAGAGAGGAGGGAGGCAGGTCTCGTTTGGGCGCCCCCAAAAGTCTCCCCAAAGAACCCCCGCCACCGCCACGGCCCTGAGAACGACCTTGAGGCACACCCCCCGGGATGAGGGATCTCTTCTTGGGGCAGAAGTCTTCATTTTCCTGTTGCAGGACTGCGCATGCATTTCTCTTCCTTTTCTTAATTGTACACCCCGTATGGTCTTTCAATGTGCTCAACCATGCATGCAATGTTCAGGGCATTTCCTAGAATCCTGGATGGGAAGGAAGAAGGAAGGAAGGAAGGAAGGAAGGAAGGAAGGAAGGAAGGAAGGAAGGAAAAGAAGGAGGAGGGGGAATAGAGAAGGGAGAACAGGGAAGAGGAGAAGAAGAAGGAAGGAAAAGAAGCAGGAGGGGGAGGAATAAGGAAGGAAGGAAGGAAAAAGAAGGGAGGGAGAAGAAGAGAAGAAGGAAGGAAGGGGAAGGAGGAGGAAGAAGGAAGGGAAGAAGGAAAAAATGGATGGGAAGAAGGAAGGAAGGAAAAAGAAGGGAGGGAGGGAGGAGAAGAGAAGAAGCAAAGAAGGGAAGAAGGAAAAAAGGAAGGAGAAGAGAAGAAGAAAGGAAAGAAGGAAGGAAGGAGAAGGGGAAGGAAGAAGGAAGGGAATAAGGGGAAAATGGATGGGAAGGAAGGAGGAAGGAAGGAAGGAAGGAAGGAAGGAAGGAAGGAAGGAAGGAAGGAAGAAAAGGAAGAGGGAAGAAGGGAGGGGAAGAGAAGTAAAGAAGGGAAGAAGGAAAAAAGGAAGGAGAAGAGAAGAAGAAAGGAAAGAAGGAAGGAAGGAGAAGGGGAAGGAAGAAGGAAGGGAATAAGGGGAAAATGGATGGGAAGGAAGGAGGAAGGAAGGAAGAAAGCAAGGAAGGAAAAAGAAGGAATGGAGGGAAGAAGGGAGGGGAAGAGAAGAAACAAAGAAGGGAAGAAGGAAAAAATGATGGAGAAGAAGAAAGGAAAGAAGGAAGGAAGGAAGGAAGAAGAGAAGAAGGAAAAAGGAAGGAGAAGAAGTAAGTAAGGGAAGAAAGAAGGAATGAAGGAAAGGTGGAAAAGAGAAGAACATAGGAAAGAAGGAAGGAGAAAGAAGGGAGGGACTGGGTGGGAGGGGGTCCCTTGTTGTAGCTGACCTGTGCCCGGGGGCCCTGGGGGTCCCTGCAGGTGGCCAGGAGGACCTTGGGGGGCTTCTCCTCCTTCCGCAGCAGCTGCTTGACCAGCTCCAAGCCAATGCCCCGGTTGGCCCCCGTCACCAGCACCGACTCCGGCATCTTCCTCCTTCCCTTCTTCTCTTCCTTCTCTCCCTCTGCTTCTTTTTCTTCTTCTTCTTCTCCTTCTTCTTCCTCTGGGCTCCTCCTCTTTGGCTTCTTCCTTTCTTCCCTCCCTCCTTCCCTCCCTCCCTCCTTCCCTCCCTTCCAAGGCCACCCAGCCCAATCCTCTTCAGCCAGGCAAGGAAGGCACAACCAAAGCTCTCCTGACAGATGCCCAAATTCTGGTTAACAACAACAACAACAACAACAACGATAATAATAATAATAATAATAATAATAATAATAATAATAATAATATAGAATCCTAGAGTTGGAAAGGACCCCAAGGGCCACCCAGTCCAACCCTCTTCTGCCAGGTAATGTAAGGCACAACCAAAGCCCTCCCAAGAGATGACCGTCAGCCTCAAAGGCATGGAGGAAAAGGACTATGGAGCCAGACTCCTGCAGTTGGGAGGGACCCCAAGGACCATCCAGTCCAGCCCCATTGTGCCATTCAGGGAAACACAATCAAAGCATCCCCAACCGATGGCTATCCAGCCTCTGCTTCATAATAATAATAATCATATAAACAACAACAACAACAACAAAAGTATGGATTGTTGATGTTGCAGTCCAGGGTGACAGCAGAACTGAAGAGAAACAACTGGAAAAGATGACACGATATGAGGATTGAAAGATTGAACTGCAAAGATTCTGGCACAAACCAGCCAAGGGGGTCCCAGGGGTGGTCGGCACACTGGGTGCAGTGCCTCAACACCTTGTCCTGCACTTAAGCACAATCCGCACTGTCAAGATTACCATCTGCAAAAGGCCACCTTACTGGGATATGCACGCATTATTCATTGATATATCACACAGTCCAACGTGTGATCCAATGCAACAGCCAGCAGAGTGTCTGCTGTGGACTCCCCTTGTTGTGTTCCTAATAATAATAATAATAATAATAATAATAATAATAATAGTTGGGAAGTGTCTGACGTGTGATCCAATGCAACAGCCAGCAGAGTGTCCGCTGTGGACTCATCTTGTTGTGTTCCTAAGAAGAAGAAGAAGAAGAAGAAGAAGAAGAAGAAGAAGAAGAAGCACAATCTAAGCCCTCCCGGCAGATGGCCATCCAGCCTCTGCTTAATAATAATAATCAAATCCCTAGAGTTGGAAAATATGCCAAAGGCCATCTAATCCAACCGCTTTTGCCAGACAGGCGCCTCCAAGGTCATGTGGCCACAGTCAGGACTGCATGGAAATTGGCTATTGCATTACATATTAATATTATGTTGTTGTTGTTCATTCGTTCAGTCGTTCCGACTCTTCGTGACCTCATGGGCCAGCCCATGCCAGAGCTCCCTGTCGGCCGTCACCACCCCCAGCTCCTTCAAGGTCAATCCAGTCACTTCAAGGATCCCATCCGTCCATCTTGCAATAATATTATATGTATAATATTATAGGTATGCATAATATATCATATTATTAACACAGCGTAATTGTTCCGTCTTCCAGGAGCATGGTTTGCATTCCCTTTGAGTTGCATGGGAGAGTGTTCTTTTGCATTTCCCCAGGGCTGCTGCAGACCCAGCCGCACCCTGGAAGTTCAACAGTATCAGAGTCTGCAAAGCCAGCCTGCAGGCCCCTTTTTGCAGCTCTTGGTTTAGGAAAGTATTTCTTTGGGTCTAGAGACCGCCCTTTTTCCAGGGGATGAGATCTCCATTTTGGAATCCCCCCTGCCTCCTTCAGTTGAGAAAGAACGCTTCAGATGTGCTGTTGGTCAGGCAGGGAGCTCTGAAAAAATCATTGTAAGTACGATTGAGTTGATTGATTTGGTTGAGCGATTGAGTTATATAGATAAAGAAGCTAATTGAGGTAGATAGCAATCTATACATATATAAATGCTCTGTGCGCAATGAGTCCCTTAAAAACAAAAGAAGCAATGAACGAAATCACACCAAATTTGGCAACAATATGTCTCACAACACAAGGAGTGGCCATCACTCAAAAAATTATGATTTTGTCATGTGGGAGTTGTAGCTGCTGGGATTTATAGTTCACTTACAATCAAAGAGCATTCTGAACTCCACCAATGATGGAATTGAACCAAACTCGGCACACAGGACTCCCATGACCAACAGAAAATACTGGAAGGGTTTAATGGGCATTGATCTTGAGTTTGGGAGTTGTAGTTCACCTCCATCCAGAGAACACTGTGGACTCAAACAATGATGGATCTGGACCAAACTTGACAGGAATATTCAATATGCCCAAATGTGAACACAGGTGGAGTTTGGGGGGAAATAGACCTTGACATTTGGGAGTTGTAGTTACTGGGATGTTTAGTTCACCTACAATCAAAGAGCATTCCGAGCCCCACCAATGATGGAATTGGGCCAAACATCCCACACAGAACCTCCATGACCAATAGAAAACTCTGTGTTTTCTGGTGATCTTTGGTGACCCTTCTGACACCCCCCTGGTGACCCCCCTCCCCCGGGTCTTGACTTCCTCGGTTGAGAAATGCTGCCTTAAGGCCACCCAGTCCAACTCCCTTCACCAGGGCAAGAAAACATAATCAAAGCCCTCTTGACAAAGGGCCATCCAGCCATTCACACACACACACACACACATGTATATGACAGATGCAAAAAATATTACAACGCATGCGCAAAACTACATATATACACGCAAACACACATATACACAAATATATACACATAAACACGCACACAGAAAAGGGGAAGGAAGGAAAGAAGGAAGGAAGGAGAGGAGGAAGAAGAGAAAGAGGGAAAGAAGGAGTGAAGGAGAGAAGGAAGGATAGAAAGAAAGAAAGGTAGAAAAGGAGAGAAGGAAATAAAAAAGTGAAAGAAAGAAGGAAAGAGAAAGGGAAGGAAGGAGAGAAGGAATGAAAGAGAGAAAGAGGGAGGGAAGGAAGGAAAGAGACAAGGAAGAATAGAACCAAAGAGCAAAAAAAGGAAGGGAGGAAAGAAACAGGTAGAGAAGGAAGAAAGAAGAGAAAGTAGAAGAGCAAAGGAAGGGAGGAAAGGAAAGAGAGAGGGGAGGAAGGAGGGAAAGAGGGAGGGAAGGTTGGCCACAGCAACGCGTGGCGAGTACAGCTCGTTGAGTTATAGATAGCAATTGAGATATAGAAAAGTTATTGAATATTATTGAGCAGTACTTCGTCTCCAAAGCTAACCTTGAGCTATAGGTAGGGAAAAAACCATAGCAGCTCAGGGTTAGGGTGAAAGGATCCCAGGATATTTTCTATCATTTGGGGAAGAGTTACCTCAGTAACTGAAGAAAAAGGAAAGAAGGATCATCTCTATGGTTTCACCAATTGACTGTTTTGTTTGTAACTTTGACAAACTGTGCAAAGTCTGCATTTATAAACGACTGATGGGCATATAGGCCCTCATAAACATCGTTGTTGTTCTATTGTGCTATTGTTATGGGAGTTGGAGTCCTAAACACCTGGAGGGAGAGAGGGCTGAAGCTGGCCCGTGTTTGCCTTGCAGTGTGATGAGGGAATAGAAGACACAAACACCATCTGCAGGTCATTTCCTTTTATTGGTTCCAATACGATGAGGCCCGCGGGCCAATGCCCCTCGCTCACGTGCCGCGCTCTCCTTCCTTGGGGCTCCTCACCAGGGCAAGACCTTCCCTTCCCAAGTGACCAGAGCCCCATGGTGCTTCTCGGAGAGGCCGCTGAGCACGCTCAGAACGCCGGCCACGCTCTCCTCCACGGTCAGGTCCGCCTGGAACACAGACAGGGCAGAAGGCCATTCGGTCAGCGGGGACAGCCCCCCATTCAAGGGATAGAACCCTAGAAAAATACACTTGGAAGGGACCTTGAAAGGCCATCCAGTCCAACCCCATCCTGCCATGCAGGAAAAGCATAATCAAAGCATCCCATCCAGCCTCTGTTTAGAAGTTTCCAAGGAAGAGCTTCCACCAGACTCTGAGGCAGAGAGTTCCACTGTTGAACAGCTTGTATGATCAAGAAGTTCTTCCTCACGTTCAGGTGGAATCTCCTTCCCTCTCATTTGAACCCATTGCTCCTAGTCCTAGCTTCCTGGGCAGCAGGAAGGAAGCCTTGCTCCCTCTTCCTTTTGACCGCCTTTCACATATTTATGCACGGCTCCTCTCATGTTTCCTCTCAACTGTCTCTTCTGTAGGCTAAACAGGCCCAGTTCTTTAAGACGCTCCTCAGGGGGATTATTATTCATGGTCTCCAGGCCTTTGATACTGCTAGTTATCCTCTTCTTCTGGACACCTTCCAGCTTGTCTCTCTCATATATGTGTGTGTGTGTGTGTGAATGAGATAGATATAAATTTGGAGGGACCCCCAAAGGCCATCCAGTCCAGCCCTATTCTGAACTAGGAGTCATTTGTAATTCTGAAGTCTGTAACTTAGGGACTGCCTGTGTATGTATGTACATGAGAATATATGAGATAGATATAGATACAGATTTGGAAGGCCATCCAGTCCAGCCCTATTCTGAACTAGGAGTCATTTGTAGGTCGGGCGTTTGTAACCTTGGCCTGACCCACCTTCTCGGTTCCCATGTCGGTCTTGACCCACCCGGGGTGGATGGCCGTGCAGAGGATGCCCTCCTCCTTGTAGCCCATGGACTGCAGCTTGGTCAACATGTTCAGCGCCGCCTGAGGAAGGAGAAACGTGTGTGTGAAAGGATGGAAGGAAGGAAGAGCGCAGAAGGGAGGACTGAGGAAGGTTGGCTGCACTGAGTGTCCGAGCCACAGCCTGGCCACAAGGTTGCCCTATAGCCCCCCATGGCTGGGGCCGAGAGCAGGGCCTCCCCAGAGGATCTTGACTCCGAGGTGGGACGTAGAGGGAGATGCGTTCAGACAGATACGCCGGGCCGGAACCGTTTAGGGTTTTGTAGGTCAAAACCAGCACTTTGAATTGTGCTCGGAACTGGATCGGCAGCCAGTGGAGCTGGCACAACAGGGGGGTGGGATGCTCCCTGTATGACGCTCCGGTGAGCAGTCTGGCTGCCGCTCGCTGGACTAGTTGAAGTTTCCGAGCAGTCTTCAAAGGCAGCCCCACGTAGAGTGTGTTGCAGTAGTCTATCCGGGATGTACCAAAAGCATGGACCACCGTGGCCAGATCCAAACTTGCATATGTCCCCCAAGAGCGCCTCAAGAGCACCCCTGGGCAACATCAACTGTACTGCAAATGCTTACTTTGCGTATGGGTTGAGCCGCCCCTGGTGTCAACATAGAGCAGTGGTTCTCAACCTTCCTAATGCCGCGACCCCTTAGTACAGGTCCTCATGTGGTGGTGACCCCCAACCATAACGTCATTTTCGTTGCTACTTCATAACTGTAATTTTGCTCCTGTTACGAATCATCATGTAAATATGCAGGATGTATTTTCATTCACTGGACCAAATTTAGCACAAATACCTGATACGCCCAAAATTTGAATACTGGTGGAATTGGGGGTGATCGATTTTGTCATTTGGTAATGCTGAAGTTGCTGGGATTTATAGTTCACCTTAAATCAAAGAGCCTTCTGAACTCCATCGATGATGGAATTGAATCAAACATGGCACACAGAATTCCCATGACCAAGAAAAAACACTGGGAAGGTCTGGTGGACATTGACCTTGAGTTTTTGGAGTTGTAGTTCACCTGCATCCAGAGAGCACTGTGGACTCAAGCAATGATGGATCTGGACCAAACTTGGCACGGATACTCAATATGCCCAAATGTGAGCACAGGTGGAGTTTGGAGAAAATATACCTTGCCATTTGGGAGTTGTAGTTATTGGGATTTATAGTTCACCCACAATGAAATAGCATTCTGAACCCCACCAACGATAGAATTGGACCAAACTTTCCACACAGAACCCCCATGACCAACAGAAAATACTATGTTTTCTGGTGGTCTTTGGCGACCCCTCTGACACCCCCTCGCGACCCCCACAGGGGTCCCGACCCCCAGGTTGAGAAACACTGACATAGAGATCTCTCTTCCTTGATGGCCGCAACATGAAGATTTTTAACAGGCACGCCTGGCGGGGACGAGAGAGAGGGCCTTCTCAGTGGTGGCCCCCCGGTTGTGGAACACTCTCCCTACAGACATCAGGCAGGCGCCCTCTCTTTTGTCCTTCCGAAAAAGCCTCAAGACGTGGCTGTTCGAGAGGGCATTTAATTAAGTGCTATAGTAATGTGGTAAAGACGACTGGAATGGTACAAGGAATACGAGATTGGTCACGATTCTATTACGAGACGAAGCGGATTAGTTAGTGTAATTTTAACTGTTGTATTGTTGTATGGTTAATATGCTGTTGTACTTGTCTTTGTGTGAATTGCCTTTTGTACTGTACACCGCCGTGAGTCGCCCGAGTGGGCTGAGAATGGCGGTTAATAAATGCTCCAAATAAATAAATAAATAAATAAGCAAACATGGCAATCTGATTGAATGTCCTGACCATGCGCTTGCTCTCTCTCTCTTCCACCGTGACTGTCTCTGAGTGTGAGTAACTGTAAATAATTTGGAACCCTAATTAAGAGGGAACTGCCAGCGGGTTGGATTGAAGAAGCCCCGAGGCAGGGGAAGAGCCGAGAGGAGCCACTGCTCCGTAAGCGCATATCTCAGATCCAACCGTCCAGGGGCTGGAGGTTGCCCATTCCAAGGGTCAGGTTGAACCCAAGCTGCCTTTTTGGGGAACCCCGACACAACTGACCTTGCTGCAGCGGTAGGAGATGACTGGGAAGGTGCAGTACATCTCCGGGACTTTCTCAATGGAGGAAAGGATGGTGGACATGTTGACGATGGCCGCCTTGGCGCAGCTGAGGGCCGTGTCCGGAGAGGCCTTGGCCGCCCGCTTCAGCAGAGGAAGGAAGGCCTAAGAAAGGAGCAGAAATGGTCACTGGTTGGGTCATCTCATCGGTCACCACGATTTCCAAGGCATTCCCTCCATCAGATTGCAGCCTGACCTTGGTGACCAGCATGGGTCCCACCAAGTTGATGTTGTAGACGTCCAGCATGCCTTTGGCGGTGGCCGACTCCAAGGTGCAGGCGGGCATCACCCCGGCGTTGTTGACCAGCAGGTTCAGACCCCGCCCCCCCAAGCGGGACTCCGCCTCCTTGGCCGCAGACTGGACGCTGGCCGGGTCAGTGACTTCTGTGTGCAGAGACAAGGAGGAAATGCTCTGGTGACACTGGGCACAACGTGGTAATCATAATATAATGACCATGGTAATGATAATATAACGATCATTATTATACTATGTAATGCGATAATGGGCAAGACAGATGGATGGCATCCTTGAAGTGACTGGACTGACCTTGAAGGAGCTGGGGGTGGTGATGGCCGACAGGGAGCTTTGGTGTGGGCTGGTCCATGAGGTCACGAAGAGTCGGAGACGACTGAACGAATGAACAACAACAACGCGATAATAATAGTATCATATAATGATAGTGATGATAATGATAATATTATGTAACACTAATAAAATAATAAAAAATAAAATAATATTTTAATAAAATTATTTTAATAAAATATTATTAAAATATAATTTTAATAATAAAATAATGAGAATATAATGATCATGATGATAATATGATAATAATATGATAATCATAATAATCATAATGATAACACTGTGGAACATGATAATAACATAGTATAATGATATGATAATAGAATAATAATAACACTATATAACACAATGATAATAATATAATAATGATAATGAAAACGCTATGTAACATGATGAAAATAATATAATAATAATAATAAAAGCACTATGTAACACAATGATAATATAATAATGATAATGAAAACACTATGTAACACGATGATGATGATGATAATATAATAATAATAACACTAGCCAATAGTCCAGAGGACAGGAGCAGAATTCAAAACGATCTTGACAGATTAGAGAGATGGGCCAAAACTAACAAAATGAAGTTCAACAGTGACAAATGCAAGAGACTCCACTTTGGCAGGAAAAACGAAATGCAAAGATACAGAATGGGTGAGGCCTGGCTCGAGAGCAGTACGTGTGAAAAAGATCTTGGAGTCCTCGTGGACAGGAAGGTGAACATGAGCCAGGAATGTGATGTGGCGGCAAAAAAAGCCAATGGGATTTTGGCCTGCATCAAGAGGAGCCTAGGGCCTAGATCTAAGGAAGTCATGCTCCCCATGCTCTATTCTGCCTTGGTTAGACCACTTTACCTGGAATCACATTGTGTCCAATTCTGGGCACCACAATTCAAGAGAGATATTGACTCTAAGCTGGAATGTGTCCAGAGGAGGGCAACTAAAATGATCAAGGGTCTGGAGAACAAGCCCTATGAGGAGCGGCTTAAGGAGCTGGGCATGTTTAGCCTGAAGAAGAGAAGGCTGAGAGGAGATATGATGATAGCCATGTATAAATATGTGAGAGGAAGCCACAGGGAGGAGGAGGGAGCAAGCTTGTGTTCTGCTTCCTTGGAGACTAGGACGCAAAGGAACAATGGCTTCAAACTACAAGGAAGGAGATTCCACCTGAACATGAGGAAAAACTTCCTGACTGTGAGAGCCGTTCAGCAGTGGAACTCTCTGCCCCAGAGTGTGGTGGAGGCTCCTTCTTTGGAAGCTTTTAAGCAGAGGCTGGATGGCCATCTGTCAGGGGTGATTTGAATGCAATATTCCTGCTTCTTGGCAGAATGGGGTTGGACTGGATGGCCCATGAGGTCTCTTCCCACTCTAGGATTCTAGGATTCTATGATTCTATGTAACACAATAATATAATAAAAATTTAATAATAAGAATCATGATGTTCATGATATTATAATGTCACACATTGGTAATTATAATATTATTATAATATAATGATAATGATAATATAAAATATAATAATGATATTATGATGATAATAATAATAATAAGAGAATTATAATAATATAATATAATGATGATGATGATGATGATAATAATAATAATAATAATATATACTGATAATGGTTCTAATAATATAATGATAATGATCATAATGATCATAATAATAAAATGATATATAAAATGGATTATAAGTGTCATTTCCTAATTGGGTCTCAACCCATTCAACCTAGCCACAAAAACAATGAAGTTCCTGGAGGAGAACAACTACTTTCAAAGGAAGGTCCGCACAATTAAACCGGAGATGGCACTTTCAAGCCAGGAACAGGACATTTTTCAAGCATTTTTACACAGCGTTACAGCCTTTTCTTGCCTATCTTCCATTGGGCAGATCCTCTGCCTTGAGAGCTTTTCCTTTCCTTTTCCTCCCATGCCTCTGTGCTAACAAACTGGGGACAATGGGTGTTTGGGAAAAAATGTCTGTAAGACTGTAGGATTTATATAGCAATATTAAATGACCACTCACAAGCCGGTTTTGCTTTGAAATGGATATATTGCTTGTATCTCTGCAGCAAAGGAAGACACTGCTGACTTTCCCCCACCACCACTTCCTTTTAGACACCCTTCCTGCCCATCATCCCCTCTTCTCAGTTTCCTTATTAGAACTGGTTGCTTCACAAGTTCCCATACAAGGTTTCCAGCGCCCTTTTCTGGCTTCAAAATGTCACAAAGAGAGAATTGAGGCAGCCAGGATGATTCAGTCAGGTTATCATGGAGGGAATTTGTGATGTCTTCATGCTGTCAGAAATTGACTCCTGACAATGTCAGAGCTGGAGATTGCAATTGCCTTCCAGCAGAGAGTGAGTCCAGTCCTTTATTTCCTTGGAGCAAAACACACACGCAGAGAGACAAGTATTTTGTCACCAACTGTCTTGCACTCTTTGCGTAAGGCATGTACCTGCATGCGTTCCTCTCAGGGATTAGCCATTCACATCAACAACCGAGTTGTTGCCAACCAGCTCGTTGAGCCCGTATTTACACATTTTTTTATTTGGGTCAAACAAGTAGAGTCTAAAGTGGTTATGTTATCCTCGAAAATAATGCTCACCTTTTTGGACTAAATTACATTGAAAAAAATGGGGTGCACATTAGTTTGACATTCTAGGCTGAGAGGAATCCAGTCCAACCCCCTTCTGCCAAGAAGCAGGACAATCGCATTGAAAGCACCCTTGACAGATGGCCACCCAGCCTCTGTTTCAAAGCCTCCAAAAAAGGAGCCTCCACCACATTCTGGGGCAGAGAGTTCCACTGCTGAACAGCTCTCACAGTCAGGAAGTTCTTCCTAATAATGGGGAGATATTGGAAAAATAGATATTTATTTATGCATAAATTGTATGTACTGAAATGTTTAGAAAAATCAGGTTCTCTCTGCAGGACAGAGAAGGACTGTTGAAAGGGTGAGGAGAAGGGGGTCCTGTTATCTATACATTCTTCAGAGACTGGTGCAATATAGCGTCTTCCTTCTAAGTCAGGAGCCTATCCCGCTCCCTCCTGGCTGGTCAAAGTAGGCCCCTTGATTGAGGAATGTAAGCTGTAAGCCAGCATTTCTCAACCTGGGGGTCGGGACCCCTGGGGGGGGGGGTCATAAGGGGGTGTCAGAGGGGTCACCAAAGACCATCAGAAAACACAGTATTTCCTGTTGGTCCTGGGAGTTCTGTGTGGGAAGTTTGGCCCAATTCTATCATTGGTGAGGTTCATAATGCTCTTTGATTGTAGGTGAACTATATATCCCAGCAACTACAACTCCCAAAGGACAAAATCAACCCCCCCCCCAACCCCAGCAGTATTCACATTTGGGCATATTGGGTATTTGTCTCAGATTGGTCCAGTGGAATGGAAGTACATCCTGCATATCAGGTATTTACATTACGATTCACAACAGTAGGAAATTTACAGTTATGAAGTAGTAACACAACTAATTTTTTGGTTGGGGGTCACCACAACATGATGAACTGTATTTAGCGGTCGCGGCATTAGGAAGATTGAGAACCACTGCTGTAAGCTGTATGCTACTCTCAGAAAAAAATATAGAGACATGCCTTTTGTATGTTGGAAGATAGAATTTGACATTTCTATGATGCTTAAAGTGACGCAGTGATGACGTTTCATATGTAGAAGCATGTTTCTTTGTTTGCCTGCATTTGTAGAGGTAGAAAAGGCACAGTCAACGCCTTTATCCTCGCTCTGGTTGCCTTTGGACACAGCTCCACTCCAGGGTCCCAGCTGGAAATAAAGCCGGACTTGATATTCACTCTCCTATTTGCTGCTACATTTCTGTGCTGCATCAAGAGGAGCGCAAGGCTATTCCGTCTTGTCTTGCCAAATCGGCCCGAAAGGGTCAAGGAAGAGGGGACGAAGCCCGTCTGTGGCCAAAGAGGAGATGTGGCAGCTCTTGTCCCCTTCCCGGAGGCCATGTCGCAACGTGCTGAGAGGCTATGGCCAACCCTCACCAGGCTTGTGCAATTTGGGGCCTTCTTGGGGACCGATTCGTGCGAAGGGAGGTTGAGATCAAAGCTCTGTTTTCTGCAGAAGTTTTTGTGCACGAATCATTCTCTTGAGAAAGATGCCCGGAAGGGTGGAATCTCACTGAGAAAACAGGTAAGGCGGGCCCAATGGGTCCGGCCCTTCCCTTGTCCTTCCCTTTGGGCCTGAAGCAAGGACAAGCTTGCGACCTGACCATCAGGTTCCTGGCCAGAAGTGGACGGTGCGGTCCTTCCTCGGAAACTTCTCTGTTTTTGTGGCTGAATGGGTCGAGACTTAATCATTCATTGGGAAAGGATTGCAAGATGTGCTCGAATGGCAAAGTGTCCCTCTCGCAGAAGCAACGTTTGGGCAGCTGAGGAAACCTTTCCCATGTTTTAGTGATGGAACCAATGAGGAAATGGCCTTGACCCCCCCGGAACTTACGTACCAAGCTGCAGAATCACCAGGTTGGGATGTGTGGAGGCCAAGGCCCTCAGCTCCTGCAAGGAAAGCAAAGGCGTGCAGAGAGGAGGGAGGCAGGTCTCGTTTGGGCGCCCCCAAAGGTCTCCCCAAAGAACCCCCGCCCCATGTATGGTCTTTAACTGCGCTCAACCATGGGACCCCAAAAGGCCATCTAGTCCAACACCATTCTGCCATAAGGGAAAAGCACAATCAAGGACCTCACAACAGATGGCCATCCAGCCTCTGGACTAGATGATCCTAAAGGACATCTAGTCCAACTCCAACCTAATAATAATAATAATAATAATAATAATAATAATAATAATAATAGAGTTCAAAGAGACCCCAAGGGCCATCCAGTCCAGCCCCCTTCTGCCTTCTTGCAGGAAAAGCACAACTGAAGCACTCCTGACAGATGGCATTCCAGCCTCTGCTTAATAATAATAGAATCCTAATAATAATAATAAAATCCTAGAGTTGGAAGGGACTCTAAAGGCCATCTAGTCCAACTCCAACCTAATAATAGCCACTGCTTAATAATAATAATAATAATAATAATAATAATAATAATAATAGGATCCTAATAATAATAATAATAATAATAATAATAGGATCCTAATAATAATAATAATAATAATAATAATAATAATAATAATAGAATCCTAGAGTTGGGAGGGAACTCCAAAGGCCATCCAGCCCAACCTCCTCTGCCCTGCAGAAAAAGCACAGTCAAAGCCCTCCTGACAGATGGACATCCAGCCTCTTCTTAATAATAATAATAATAATAATAATAATAATAATAATAGAATCCTAGAGTTGGAAGGGAACCCCAAAGGCTATCCAGCCCAACCTCCCCTGCAGAAAAAGTACAATCAAAGCCTTCCTGACAGATGGACATCCAGCCTCTGAATAATAATAATAATAATAATAATAATAATAATAATAATAATAGAATCCTAGAGTTGGAAGGGAACCCCAAAGGCCATCCAGCCCAACCTCCCCTGCCCTGCAGAAAAAGCACAGTCAAAGCCCTCCTGACAGATGGACATCCAGCCTCTTATTAATAATAATAATAATAATAATAATAATAATAATAGAATCCTAGAGTTGGAAGGGAACCCCAAAGGCCATCCAGCCCAACCTCCCCCCTGCAGAAAAAGCACAGTCAAAGCCCTCCTGACAGATGGACATCCAGCCTCTTATTAATAATAATAATAATAATAATAATAATAATAATAGAATCCTAGAGTTGGAAGGGAACCCCAAAGGCTATCCAGCCCAACCTCCCCCGCAGAAAAAGTACAATCAAAGCTTTCCTGACAGATGGACATCCAGCCTCTGAATAATAATAATAATAATAATAATAATAATAGAATCCTAGAGTTGGAAGGGAACCCCAAAGGCTATCCAGCCCAACCTCCCCTGCAGAAAAAGTACAATCAAAGCTTTCCTGACAGATGGACATCCAGCCTCTGAATAATAATAATAATAATAATAATAATAATAATAATAATAATAGAATCCTGAGTTGGAAGGGAACCCCAAAGGCCATCCAGCCCAACCTCCCCTGCCCTGCACAAAAGCACAATCAAAGCCCTCCTGACAGATGGACATAAAGCCTCTGCTTAATAATAATAATAATAGAATCCTAAAGTTGGAGGGGACTCCAAAGGCCATCTAGTCCAATCCCAACCCCCAGAAAAGCACAATAAGAGCAACAACAACAACGCTTTTCCCTACTCCTTGTGTTCCTGTGGGGAAAAGGGTGGAGTAATAATAATAATAACAATAATAATTTTTCCTACTCCTTGGGTTCCTATTGGATTCCCTAGCCTCCCCCTTCCTCTGTTGGGGAAAAAAGCACAGAGAGAAGCCGAGAAGCCAAGCTCTGCAGGGAAGGAGGAAGGGGAAGGGGAAGGGAGAAGGAAGGGAAGAAGACAGGATGGATGGGAAGGAAGAAGGAAGGAAGGAAGGAAGGAAGGGAAAGAAAGAAAGAAAGAAAGAAAGAAAGAAAGACAGAGAAAGAGCTGGGAAAAGGAAGGAAGGAAGGAAGGAAGGAAGGAAGGAAGGAAGGAAGGAAGGAAGGAAGGGGAAGGAAGGGGAAGAAGGTTGGAGGGAAGGAAGAAGAAGGAAGGAAGGAGAAGGAAGGAGGAGGGAAGGAGAAGGAAGGAAGGAAGGAAGTAAGGAAGGAGAAGGAAGGAGGAAGGAAAAAAGGAAGGAAGGGGGAGAAAGGAGAAGGAAAGGAAGGAAGGAAGAAGAAGGAAGGGAGGGGAAGGAGGAGGAGAAAGGAAGAAGGAAGGAAGAAAAGGGAAGAAGAAGAGGAAAAGGAGAAGGAAGGAAGGAAGGAAGAAGGAAAAGAAGGAAGGGAGGAGAAGGAGAAGAAGGAGGAAGAAAAAAGAAAGGGAGGAAGAAGAAGAGGAGAAGAAGGAAGGAAGGCAGGAAAGTGGAGGGAGGGAGGGAAGAAAGGAAGGCTTTCCTACTTTTTCTCCTCCTTGAGACCATATGGGGGCAAAAGGTGAGGTAGAAATAAAGTTAGTAGCAACAACAACAACAACAACAACAACAACAACCACAACCACAACCACAACAACAACCAATCCATTTTCCTTCTGGGCCTTGTTGAGCCCAAACCATTTGGAGAGATTGTTTTGCACAAAGGGCCTGGAGTTGTGGTTGTGGTTGAACCGAAAGCCCTCCCAAGGGAAAGTCCAGAGATCCCTTCCTCTCTGGCATCAGGAAGGAGACACAGTCAGGGAAGGAGGGAGGGAAGAGGAAGAGACAGGGAAAGGGAAGGGAAGGGAAGGGAGGGGGGCCTTTGGTGCTGACCTGTGCCTGGGGGCCCTGGGGGTCCCTGCAGGTGGCCAGGAGGACCTTGGGGGGCTTCTCCTCCTTCCGCAGCAGCTGCTTGACCAGCTCCAAGCCAATGCCCCGGTTGGCCCCCGTCACCAGCACCGACTCCGGCATCTTCCTCCTTCCCTTCTTCTCTTCCTTCTCTCCCCTCCACTGGGGCCCCTCTGCTTCTACTTCTTCCTCTGGGCTCCTCCTCTTTGGCTTCTT